AGTAAAAAGTTGGATTCATAAAAGCAGAAAGTAGAATTGTGGGTACCCAAGGTTAGAGAATAGGAGACTTGGAGAGATGGCTGTAAAGAATATAAAATATTAGAGAGAATAATTTCAATAGTTCTATTACAAAGTATGTAAGAAGTTTGTAATATTTCACATTTTTAAAAAGTGCTAAGACAGTCTCTCTCCTATGGTGATATTTTATTTGTACTGAAATGTGATTTTATTTGTATGTTAATAAATAAAGTTGCCTGGGGGTCAGAGCTAATAGCAAGGCATAGTAGAGCAAGGCGTTGGTGGCGCACGCTTTTAATCCCAGCTCTTGGGAGGCAGAGCTAGGCAGATCTCTGTGTGTTCAAGATACAGCCAGCATGGAGACACACGCCTTTAATCTCAATACCAACCTTAGAAGATCTGGAGGTCTATACAGATGGGTAGTGACAAGGAGGTCATGTGGTTGGGTTTACAACCAATGAGAAGGCAGAACAGAAAGTCTATATAAAGACAAAAACACAGGAAGTAGGTCTCTCTTGGCTGGAGAGGATAGCTGAAGCAGGAAGGGTAAGGCTCTTAGCTCTGACCTCTTGGGCTTTCATCTTTACATTGGCTCTGTGATTCTTATTTAATAAGACAGTTACTTCTACACTCTCCTTTCTCCCTCCCTCCCTCCTTTCCTCCCCTCTCTCTATATATGCATATATGTATGTAACAGATGCATACATACATATATAAATACATATAATTTTTCAAGGAATTTTTGCAATAAATTTCTTTTAAAATTAGGTTTTATACATCAAATTTTCTTCTACATTAACAATGAATGTGAGATTAGGACAATTAAAAATTCAATTTTAACCAATTTTTCTTTGTTGTAATCTCATATTAATAAACTAGATTTGAATATGAACGTACTTGCTAGGAATAAATTTATCCATTCAACATTTAAATATGACTATATTAACTCAAATTGAGATAGTAGAAATATTTGCTCTTCAATGATGCTTATACAAAATTTATCAGAAATAAAGAACAAATATTTTTGAATAAATATATTCACTTCCAACAGCTTGCAACATTCTGTTTCGCCTTTTATTTTAATTTGCATTTTATGCCCACCATAAAAAAGATGGTTTTCCTGTTGTTGTTTTTTTAATGTCTATTAAAGGTTGGTCGTAGTCAAATACTTGAGTACACATTTCACATTTGGTTTAATGTATGACTACGAAAAATTTACAAGAATTGAAATCAGCATAAATTTCACTGCTATTCATGCACACTGTCTAGTAATACATAAGGCAAGTAATGGGCTCTTTGTTTTGCAAGTGGAAATGACTTACACTATTCTACATCTCAACTGTGAATCCATCATTTTGATATTTTTACATTTTTCTCCTATATATTTGCTACATAGCAGCATATTTTAACAAGGCATATGCAGCAGAAGGTTAAATTTTTAGTTTAATAACTTTAAACCCTAGTGAAAGCTTGATACTGTGTTGATTTAGTATCAAACAGCCTTCTAAGTACTTTAAACCTGTAGATTCGTAACAGCCCTCAACACTCTTAGAGAAGTTTCTATTGCAGCAGACAGCAGTTGATAAAGATCTACAGCTTGTCAGAGTACAGAGAATGAGGCACTATGCGGTGCTCAGTCTTAATGAGACATCCACACCACACCCCCTCCTCACATTGCTCAGGAAACATTGTACAAGAGGGGATGGAAAGGTTGTAAGAGCCACAGGTTAAGGAAGGTTGCTATGGAACAGTCTTCTGGACATGGCAGGGCCATTGCATTTGTGAACTCCAGATGGCTGTGATTATCTGTACAAGACCTATACAAAACTAAGCCAGTTAGGAATCCAGCATCCATGGAGAAGAGGCTCACAAAGCCTGATTCTTAGTCAAGTTTGGTTAGCTGGAAGCTGCTGCTTAGGGAAAGTTAGTCTTCATTCAGGAAGTGGCCCTTATTAGGATGCCCATGAACCAGTGTATGACCCTATAACCAAGCATGTAAGGACAGCACTAACTAGACTCAGAGGGCTATGAAAAGGGGGCATGAATTTGGAATGGGGTATAGCTGAGGGGTCTAGGAGAAGTTGGAGTGTATGGGAAGTTGAGATATTGAAAACATATTATATATGTACTTGAAATTCTCAGAGAATAAATAAAAATATAGAATAAACTCCAGGAAAAGGATATCCACTAAGTTTAAGCTAAATCTTGTAGTATTTACAATTCCACAATAGATTTTCTAGCTCTAATTCCATTCTTAGAATCATTTAAACCCCTTGTTTCTACATCTACTGTAGTGGGTTTTCCGGGCTGCCCTACATCTCCCTCATTTCCATATCCCTGGTACTCTGGTGCTTTGTATGTAAAGTACTATGATGGAAAAAACAATGTGTCAAGGAATTCTGGACTTTTTATAAACCTTATTAAGGCATAGTGCTAAAAGGAAAAAATTGAGGCCTTCTGTCAATATGATGCCAGAACTCAATGGACCTCCTGTCCCTCCTGAGTCAAGTCCTGAAGCAAGTCAGAAACTCAACACTGCAACAAAGCTGGTATCATCACATAAGTTTTGAGAAAGTATTAAAATTACAGAGTAAAACATCCTTTAAATTGACAGTATTCTCTAGAGGTCTTGAGGATGTAGCTCAATGGTAGAATACTTGCACAAGGCACTGGGTTAAATCCATACTTCTGAAAAACAAAGCACAAAAAATCCATTGCATTCCTAGTCACACTGATTGTTAAAAGTCAATTAAATTTGATTAATTACCTTAATCCTCCTCCAACTGCAAAATAAATAATTACTAATAATATTATTACAGCTATTTATTAAATGCTCACTGTGTGTCTGGCATAATACTAGGCATTTTATATGGATCATCTCGGTTGCTTTTCATATAATCCACATAAGCAGGTAGCATTGCTTTGCTCTTTTAGTTATATATGTAGTAAGTGTAAAGCAAAAAATCATGCTTATGCAAATAATTTTATCCACTGCATCAGGTACAATAAAAGTTGCATAATTTACAATGACCTAGGGTGGACTTGATTATGTGGATCTTAATTACACTATAAACAATAAACTTTGAAACTGGTACAAGATGTGAATACTGGATATAAAAATCTACATTTAGAAAGCAAATATAATAAAATGAAAAGAAGGTGAAAACTTGACATAAAAATATCACTTGAAAAGTAGCTTGGTTTTGACTATCCCAGCCTACTCTTCCACCTACCCCTTTTCAAATCTTGCTGTGTCAAGTATGGACCTATCTTCCTTAATCAGACAGAAAGGAAGCTAAAATTGTGGCTGTCCTTCAGCTTGTCTCATTGTTTCTTGCAAAGTGTTGGGGGAAGAGATTGTGATGGATGTGTAGGTGGTAAAATTTTACAGTTGTGTCATATTGTGAGGAGAAACTGAGAAAGTAGCACCACTTCAGATTCTGCTCCAATTGTATACTAAGTCTGCACATCCTGTGAAATACCAAGTGCTCTGGAGGATGCTTTCATCTTCAAAAACAAAACAAAAAACTGTCCTTTTGTGTTGACTCCAAAAAAAAAAACATAGAGTTGGCAGGGTTGCATATGGCAAGAGCACTGCCTTGTCAATTAAGCAAACTACCCATCAAGTGGGATTTTTGAGTCTAGTTGTAGACATCAGGATGAGGAGGGAAGGATGATTAGGGCACATCACTGACAATAGAACTCAGCAGAATAGAAGCCATTGGCTTTCCTCTGGCAGCCTGAATGCAAACACTTGCCAAGTTCTTATTAGGTGGTAGAATTGTGAGATAGAAATCTATTGGATTTATCAAAGCCAAAGTTGCAGCTGTCCAAGGACAATAGCTCACATAGTTTCTATGTGAACATATGGAAACTTTCAAGAATCATGGTTTTTGTAACTATATGGTAGTGGCCTAAATGTCTTAACTAGAAATAATGGTCTACTTATTCCAAGTCCTTAACCAGGTTGAAGAATGAGATCCTTGTCCAAATTACAGTATTTGTCTAATTTCATATTAATAATGAATATTCTTGTACAATTTTACAAAGGAACATCTTTACAAAATTTACCATGGGTTTGGCATTAAACAATTATTTTCAAGTTGTAGATGAAATGGTCCTTGGTTAGGAGCTGGAAAATGTTAAATGGCAAGCCTGAATACCACTCAGAGACTCATTTATTGCCTTCTTGTAAGAGGGAATAAGAATAGGTGGCTACCAAGATGGGCAAGAAAGAATTAATCTTTATCTGAAACCCAAATATACACAGAATATGGAATCAGTGTAAGAAAGCACAACTTGTTATCTAGACAAATATCTCAAGGAAACACAAACAAACCATAATGCTCATTTCATTAATTTTGTTAAGTAGCCTAGCTCTAGCGCAGTATAATGGTCTGGTAAAGCAAGGCCCTCTGGCCCTATCCATTCTGGAGATAAATTGAGGCTGCTGTGAAAAATATGCCACCCACAAGAGCCCAACTTTAATGTGAAAGTGCAGCAAATAGAAAATAAGCAACCTCGCAGCTTTGATTGTAATGTAAACTTCTCAATGATTTCTTCACAAACTTTAATCATCTACCTTCTACAATCTGAAGCAGTGAATATGAAGTTCACTCTGCAAGGACACAGCACAATCTGACACCAAAGACATGGATATTCCGTTCAATAATCAGTCTTCTCATCGCTTAGCAGAGCATGTAGCAGCATCGCAAGCTGATGGATTTGAATTAAATGCAAAGGACTCCTTAATGGGCATGCATCTGCAAGATAAGGAAGTAATGGTTCCAAAGAAAAATAGCATTGTTCTCACTGAAATTTGGAGACATGCCCATTGCTTTTTTTTTGTCACAGACACCTCATGATTTACACTATCATTGAGGAGACAGTTGATACACATTTATCAGTTACATGACTAGCAGAAAACAGAACCATCCACAACAAAATGAAAGGAAGCAACTTGGAATTGAGAATCGACTTACCTGTTAAGCTTTCCAAACAGGAGAGTCTTCCATTGTTTTGTGGCTCCAGATTTCATCTATTTTCTCTTTCTCTTATGTAGATTCCATGATACATTATTTGGAATAACACTTTTGATTTTGGAATATGTTCACTAAAAGAGAGAATAACCTAATTTAGAAAGAGACTTGTCATCCTTATTTGGTGTGAAATTATTGTTAAATGTGTCATTAGGAAAAGGCCCATTTAGCCAACTCTCTCTTGAAAATCCCACCTCTATATCTTGAGTGTTTAACAGTCTTCTATAGAATCAGTCCCCCCGCACCCCAAAGTCTATGCTTGAATCTATATTAAAAGCTTTTTGTTAAATACCTCCACTTTATGGTAAAAATACCATAAAGTACCACATTAACTATTAGTTGGAATTAACTAGTAATTAACTAATTGGAAATGGCCCAATAGTTCATCTTAGAATTTACATGTTCTAATATAAAATATTTTCTGGAGGAGAACTTTCAGGAAGGCTTTGTTTATTTTGATTTCTAGGGGAGAAAACAAAAATTTCCTAAAGGAAAATTACCTCAAAGCAAGGGAGAGTTCAAACCAGCTCAGAGTACAGACATCCACATCAAAGAGGGGTGACTGTAATGACTGCTCTAAGCCTTCTGTGGCCTGAACTTACTCTCTAGAAACTCTTATCAAAAAGCAAAGAAAGAAAGCAGGACAAATAAAAATCTGGTACCATAAATAAAGATCCAGAAATGTGGGCGCTGTGATCTCCACAGCAGAAAAGGGCCACAAGGGGATCAAGTTCTCCCCCATGGAGCATGAAACCAGAGCACAGGCAGAAGCCTTCCAAGAGGAAGAAAGGATAGCTCAGTGCACTTGAGGGAGATCTCTGATCATCTGTATCTAAAGGGGAAGTGAAGTTGCAGAGATGTGTCTGGTCATGCTGAAGTCATTGAGCACATGAGAGATCAGTAAGGTCTGGGGACTCAGTGCACACATCTTTGGTTTTAAAGTCAAATTATAATCCCCATGACAAATGGCCCTAATTTACACTCTAGCCATTTTTCCTGAATATTATCTCCATGATTAGAGGTTTTTATGATCTAACTGAACCTTTTTCTGCAATATTTAAGGAGAAGCTACATTATCACATGAGTGTAGCTGCCCTAGTCTATCATAAAAATCAACTATATGAAAATTTTCACCCAGACCACAGCTTTAATCTAGTTCCATCTCTTGCTTCAAGACTCCCCAATGATCCCCTGGAACAGCAAATAAATAGGAGCATGCTACCATTACTACATTTATTCCTTGGGTAAATGAATTCTAGAAAGTAAATGACCTTTAAGATTTTCTGGAGCTTCAAAATAATTGCAATAACTGAGTTACCACACACATTAAAACTGGACAAATGCCTGCAATTATGAATAGTCATCAGTTCAACTTCTAATTTCCTAATATATCCACTTTCATAAAAATTATTCATATTTATTATTTATTAGTATGTCTAAGACTGTGTTTCCTCATTTCCAATAACTAAATACCTTCTTGTCTTATAATGTCATCCTATGCCAATGTTAGTCACAAAACTAATGGCTTATATTTACAGAACATCCTATGGTGCACCTGTGCCTATACACTGTTTGCATTTGATTGAAACTAGAGCACAGAGAGGTCAAATACCCTGCCCAACTTCATGTAGCTGCTAAAATTCCAGACCAGTATTCAAATTACTAATTCTCTCACTCAGATACTTTAATTTTCTTGCTCTGTGAGAAGACTTCAGTTTCATCTGCTCTTCCATCAGTAGATTTATCCAAAATGTATTTGTCCCTGACTTCCCTATACACCACACTTTGTTTTCTTTGTCTATATCCTGCTCCCTCCATTATATGTCACTCCTTCAGTAACAGTTACCCAAACGTTTGCTATTCGGTCGGTTGTAGCAAAGTTTCCAAACCATAAAACCTAGTTGTCTCTGTTAATCCTCTTTACTGTCTTACTTGAAATTGAAGACTTGGTTGGAGGAGCCACAGGCAAAAGTTGTTAGAGAAGAAGTTGTTTTCCTGATCTATTCAGGAAAATGTGGATTTTTCAAGCATAAAACAACAGCCTGCAGTGTGACTTTCAGTATGGTGAATCTAACAGGCAAGAAACAATTAGAATGTTTCCACTGACACAGATGTGCAGGGTTTGGAATCCCTTCCAATAGCAATTTCATCATCTCTTTGTTAAATGATTATGAGAGGAGAAAGTTCATCTAGCACGAGCAAGCTACAAAGTTTTCTCAAAATTACATGTAAATACGTGTCAGGAAGCTAACTAGAATTCAAGATTGTTTTATTCCAGGTGAGCAAATATTCTACTGCTCAACTGCAAAATTTCAGGCATCAACACTGAAAATAATTCTTTTGGCATTCAAATTTTATTCATAAAATTCATTTATATAAATACTACATAGTAGTTATCTAGAAAATCAAATTTCATTTTCTTTTCTTTTTTTTTCCAAAGAAAGGAAGAAATGCACTGTAAGCTACAAAGTCCAGATGTCCAGCTCACTGATCTCTCAATTCTTAGTGTCAAATACCTAGAAGGTCCAAAATCAATGAGCCATTTAGCATTTTTTTTACTTACATTAATTTCATTTATTACTTGAGAAGCAAAGAATATTTGTAATTTAAGAAGAACTCCCTCAGAGTTGTTTTGATTTGCATTTCCCTGATGATTAGGGATGTTGATCAATTCCTTAAATGTCTTTCGGCCATTTGAGGTTCCTCTGTTGAGAATTCTCTGTTTAGTTCTATAGCCCATTTCTTAATTGGACTGTTGGGCATTTTGATGTCTAATTTCTTGAATTCCTTATATATTCTGGATATCAGTCCTCTGTCAGATGTGGGGTTGGTGAAGATCTTTTCCCATTCTGTAGGCTGTCGCTTTGCCTTGTTGACCGTATCCTTTGCTCTACAAAAGCTTCTCAGTTTCAAGAGGTCCCATTGATTGATTGTTTCTCTCAGAGTCTGTGCTACTGGTGTTCTATTTAGGAAGTGATCTCCTATGCCAATGCGTTCAAGACTACTTCCTACTTTCTCTTCTAGCAGGTTCAGAGTAGTTGGATTTATGTTGAGGTCCTTGATCCACTTGGACTTAAGTTTTGTGCACGGTGATAGATATGGATCTATTTGCAGCCTTCTACATGTTGATATCCAGTTTTGCCAGCACCATTTGTTGAAGATGCTTTCTTTTTTCCATTGTGCACTTTTGGCTTCTTTGTCAAAAATTATATGTTCATAGGTGTGCGGATTAATGTCAGGGTCTTCAATTCGATTCCATTGGTCCACATGTCGGTTTTTATGCCAGTACCAAGCTGTTTTTATTACTGTAGCTCTATAGTAGAGCTTAAAGTCAGGGATCGTGATGCCTCCAGAAGTTGTGTTATTGTACAGGATTCCTTTGGCTATCCTGGGTTTTTTGTTTTTCCATATGAAGTTGAGTATTATTCTTTCCAGGTCTGTGAAGAATTGTGTTGGTATTTTGATGGGGATTGCATTGAATCTGTAGATTGCTTTTGGTAAGATTGCCATTTTTACTATGTTAGTCCTGCCTATCCATGAGCATGGGAGATCTTTCCATTTTCTGACATCTTCTTCAATTTCTTTTTTCAGGGACTTAAAGTTCTTGTCATATAGGTCCTTCACTTGCTTGGTTAGTGTTACCCCAAGGTATTTTATGTCATTTGTGGCTATAGTAAAGGGTGATGTATCTACGCCTGTCAGAATGGCTAAGATCAAAAACACTGAAGACACCTTATGCTGGAGAGGATGTGGAGCTAGGGGAACTCTCCTCCACTGCTGGTGGGAATGCAAGCTTGTACAACCACTTTGGAAATCAATATGGCGCTTTCTTAGAAAATTGGGAATCAATCTCCCCCAAGATCCAGCTATACCACTCTTGGGCATATACCCAAGAAATTCTCAACCACACCATAAGAGCACTTGTTCAGCTATGTTCATATCAGCATTGTTTGTAATAGCCAGAACATGGAAACAACCCAGATGCCCTTCAACTGAAGAATGGATAAACAAAATGTGGTACATATACACAATGGAATACTACTCAGCAGAGAAAAACAATGGCATCGTGAGGTTTGCAGACAAATGGATGGATCTAGAAAAAATCATCCTGAGTGAGGTAACCCAGACTCAGAAAGACAAACATGGTATGTACTCACTCATAGCAGGATACTAGACATGAAACAAGGATGACTTGTCTGCTACTCACATCACCAGGGAGGCTACCTGGAAAACAGGACCCCAAGAAAGACACAGGGATCGCCCAATGACAGAGAAATGGAATGAGATCTACATGAACAGCCTGGTCATGAGTGGGGGTAATGAAAGGCGAGGGTTGAGGGAAAGAGAGCTTGGGGGAGCGGGAGATCCCAGCTGGATCAACAACAGAGAGAGAGAACAAGGAATAGGAGACCATGGTAAATGAAGACCACATGAGAATAGGAAGAAGCAAAGTGCTAGAGAGGCCCACAGAAATCCACAAAGATACCCACACAACAGACTGCCGGCAATGGTCGAGAGACAGCCCGAACTGACCTACTCTGGTGATGGGATGGCCAGACACCCTAATTGTTGTGCTAGAAACCTCATCCAACTACTGAGGGATCTGGATGCAGAGATCCATGACTAGGCCCCGGGTGGATCTCTGGGAGTCCAATTAGCGAGAATGAGGAGGGTTTATATGAGCGAGAATTGTTGAGACCAAGGTTGGATAAAGCACAGGGACAAATAGCCAAATGAATGGAAACACATGAACTATGAACCAATGGCTGAGGGGTCCCCACTGGATCAGGCCCTCCGAATGGGTGAGACAGTTGATTGGCTTGATCTGTTTGGGAGGCATCCAGGCAGTGGGACCAGATCTTGTGCTCATTGCATGAGTTGGCTGTTTGAAACCTGGGGCCTATGCAGGATTGTTTGGCTCGGCCTGGGAGGAGGGGACTGGACCTACCTGGACTGAGTCTACCAGGTTGACCTCAGTCTGTGGGGAAGGCTTTGCCCTGGAGGAGATGGGAATTGGGGGGGGGGGGGGTTGGGGGGAAGGTGAGGCGGACGGGAGGGGGGAGAACAAGGGAAT